TCAGGTAGTACCCCCTCTATACTACCCCCCTAGGGCCCCCCTTAAGGTTATTTAGGGATAATTAGGCGTAATTAAGGTTAATTAAGGGGGGAACCTAGGGGGGTAGTATAGAGGGGGGTACTACTGGAACCCATGATACAACCCTAAACCCTGAACCTGAAAACTTAGCATTCATGCAGGGCATTTACAGCAGCAGGGATCATACAAGGGTTACATGGGTTACTAAATGGAGATTGAAATAGAAAAATGGACAATGAAATCGATGCTGGGTTTGTATAGGGAGTTATCGGGGTCATTCCCATACAGTGGGTCCCAAGACGTGTCGACGAGCCAGAATGTGTAGAGCCCGGGCTTCACATGCAGACAAGTAAGTGTGGTGAACGTTTGGAGGGTTGTGTCAGAAAACTCAAGAGAACTGAGCTGTAATCACAGATCGTCTGGACCCCTACAACCTAAACCCTAAACCCTTCAACCTTGGCCTTAACCTGCTTCCTGACCCAAACTGCTCCTACTCCCTGCGCCTTGGGCACTGCAGCAACTGATGGCGGCATTGTCAACGGCCGCATCAATTTCCACAGATCTGGCCACAAGTGTCTGGTTAAAATACTTGAGTTGGGTCAATCCCCCACCCAGTACTGGGTACTACAAAGGACTATTGTTATAATATTAAGGCCCAATTAACTCCAATTTAGGGGCTACTACTGTAGTGGAGACAGACCTAATGGTTGGGGTTGAGGCTGGATATTTCAGAGGTTGGGAAGTCAAGCTTTTAGGATCTACAGTCTTTTGGTCTTGGGATCTAGGTCTTACACGAAACTCCATGCAGATTTTGTGTATGCCCTGCAGCGGAAATCTGCCAAATCCTACTCCTCTTCGCACAGAAGCTAGTTGGGGCAACAGCTCCCACAACTCCCAGCAGACTAACAAAGAAACGCTGCTGAAGGTTCACGTCACTTAGAACCCCAACATGACTGCACTCAGAACCCAATTGCCAGCCCAACAAGTCCCCTAATATGCTTGTAATCGCGCTACATATACCAGTTGTAATTGGGCTAGAATTATCCTGAACCTCCAAGAAGTGGCCGTGGGTTCTGGCAGAATCTTCCCAAATTCATCATGTGGGGACCACTGGGTCAAGGGTTCGCCCCTTTGAGCATACTAACGCATTGTGTTTGGGGCACACACTTTTGGAAACTGTCACGTCAAGATCTTTCCTGAATTTGAAAAGGGTAGTGGGGTGGACTAAGGTTTGGGGTTTAGGGTGTAGGATTTTTCATGCAAGGCATCATGCTTGCTGCTCATCCAGTAGTTCAGGAGTTCATGTACCAGGGGTGGAAAAGGATTCGGGGTGGCATCAGGAGTACGCAAGCTTTCAACCATTTGCATAATGAAGGCATGGTCACTATCGCCCGATGGAGTTTGAGCTAGTAATACCATCCTATGCATCCACAGAACCTGTGAGAACTTGCCCTTCTTGAAAAACTCTGCGCAGAGAGGAAAACGGAAGTAATCAGAAGTGTCAGTACGGTAAGCTGTGATTTGTGTGATCCTTATACACAGGTCCCATGCATGTTCTTTACGCTGCCTTTGTACTCCCACTCCATTCTCTTGCATGTCCAGGCCCCAGGATAACAAAAGCATAAACCCTAAACCCCTGTTCTTTCAACCGCAGAAATGCGGCCTAAAGACCAGGCAGCCTCAACTAAGCCCCAACCCATTTGCACTGAACACACCCGAACCCCCTGAACCTTTCAAACATCGTCCCTGAGCCCTAAACCCTAAGCCACCCTAAACCCTAAACCCTAAACCCCAAGCCCTAAACCCAACCCCAAGCCCTAAACCCTAAAGCCCCCACCCTGGGATACAGCCTGGCAGCTGTGCCCTGAAGCAGTTCAAGAGCTGCCTGCCGCCAGAGGGCTTCAGGCCAAGAGTGAGACAGAGAAGGCTTTGAGGCTTTTTTCAGGACCAGGGCGCAGGGCTTTATGGACCTACCTATAGGGTTTACGGTTTAGGGTTTGGGGTTTAGGTTTTTCTTAAGTTTGAGGGTTTAGGGTTTAGGGATCTCTGTTCTTTGTGGATTTCCACAGGCGCTTGGTTGGGGCTTATCTAATGACTATATTATCCCTATTATAAAATCTGAATATACTCCCTATATAATCCTTAATGCCTATATATATATATACCCTGTAGAATACGTTCCCTTAGTGCCTACTAAGCCCTATACCCTAAACCCTAAACCGCGTTTCCCTTAGTCCCTACTAAGAACCTGTA